GTAACGTAGTTATAATGTAACTATGTAACATTTTATTATTCATAATATATAGAATAGTTTTTACTTAAAAAAATAAAAATATTTTAATTGAATTCTCGAACAAAATAAAACATAATATTTTGAAATTATAAACTTGAATATAATATAAACCTAAAAAATCGTTCGCAATCATTCGGTTTTCGGCTAAAACAAAAAAAAATTATTGATAAACGGCATTCGTTCGCAATTGTGTTGTACCTAGTTCCAATACCGCATTACACCATTGGTTCCGACTTACGGGTAGTAAAGGATACAAGAAATTCTAACGGTTACATTCTTCTCTCTTGAAATCCATATTTTCTTAACGTCAAATTTTTCAGTAACAATTTAAGTAGTTAGTAACAGTATTTTATTTCCTATGTTATACAGGTGATATTTACGCGTGATGTCATAGTCATGTGCATACGATGATGACGTATTTATATCGAAGTATGATTAACATTTCAAAGTGCTCACCGACAATGATGAAGGTCGGTCAATCTTGATCCACTTTGAAATTTACCCCGTATAAACGTATAATATATAAAAGTTATCCCAATGCTAAAAAGTTATAGTTTTATTTCTACCAATAATTAACATTTCAGTTCTGGGCAAAAGCGACGTTCGGGAGGAGAATGAATTTCTTTGAATTAAATGTTTACATCAAACCAATGGCGGATCCAATAACTATTTATGGACGGCACACTTCACAGAAAAAATTATATAATATAGTTGATCATTGGCATATGTAGGAATGTATTGGAAAGTAGCTTAAATACCCTTCCCCACCAAAAAAAAAAAAAAATAATAATAATAATAATAATATGACAATATTGTACTAAAACTTTCATTATTTATTTTTCTTAACTATATTTTAATTCTTCTAAATATAATTTATTTTTATTATTAGTTTTCTAACGGCGATGGCACTTGACCCCAGTGTCTCCCTGGATCCGCCCATGCATCAAACCAGCTCTATATATATAGTTATAAAACGTAAATATTAAACAAATCGTAAATTGTATTTTGTTTTTCGAGAAGAATTGAGTAATAATTTTACCATGACCAAGTTCATCTTTTTTCTTTTTTTACCATCGTAAATTACAAATAATTTTAATCGTAAGCAATGTAAGCACTTTCGTAGAACACCCAGATGTCACGTTTAATGACCGATTCGCAATAAACTGGGCTTCTAAGACCAAGGACTGCGTATACCGATATATCTATATAATAGCAAAACGCCTCTAACCGTCGTATTCAACACATAACTTATACTAGAACTATGGATCGAGAACTATATCCTAGTATTTATAGCGCTATTTGAAATTAGAATTTTCATAATTTATCAATTGAAGGTTCTTCAGTCTAGTACATTCTCTTCCTCAAACAATGACTGGGGTTAAATTCTTTTTTTAAATATTGACTGCGGAATTAGTGCGATCTAGTTGTACGAGAAAACACTGTGAATATATTGTTATACTATAATTATGTAAACAGCTGGTCGAAAATGAATAATTTAATTGATTATATTGACACCTTATTAACGTGTCAAGAACGACGACAATCTGACACTCGATCTACGAGGATTTTCAAGCAAAACATGACCACTAATGATATGAAAATGAGAAAAAGATACATTAATATATGCATCGACTACTTGACCAGTATCGAATACTTCTTCTTAATGAT